TCTGTTCTTCTGAGCAGATTTTTGACTATCTGTTGTCTTTGTTTTTTTTTGTTTTTGTTCCTTTCTGTGAAAAGTATTAAGTTGTTTATTTGGTTAGCTACAACAGTAGGCCTATAATTTTATTTTTCCTTTGTTTGTTTTGGAGTGTGTAATTAATTTTGTATTGTGTTCCTTGTTTTCTGTATTTTGTGATTTGTTTATTCCTTTTTGTTTGTATTGTATTTTTCAGTCAATCTTTATAGTGGGAGAGCCCAGCTGTGGTTGTAATGTACTGGTGTGCATACATAGAGTGCTGTGCTTAATAAGCTTGCTGTGTTTTCACAAGTGTGTTGTGGGTTTCTTTTCTTTTTTTTTTTGTTGAGGGTTGGGTGGAAGGCAGAGGACCCCTGCTGGCCACCTCCTTTACTTTCTGTTGTTTTTTTTGTGTGTATCTGTATGTATAATTTGGACTTGTGCTTTGCTGATTGAGACCTTGTGTGGAATCAATGTACTGTGTATTTTAAACTCTTATATTTCAATAAAGTGCCTGTTGTCTTTATCCTTCCAGTCCACGTTGTAACAGTTTTACTGTCACATTTGTTCCCAGTAGTTCTTTGCATGTTATAGCTATACCAATCATTAGGGGGCACTCTGTATTCTAAGTTGCTCATTTGCCTAAAAGGGGGTAAAGAAGTAGCATTAGGCAGGAAGTGGTGTGCTAAGCACATGGAATGTCTTCACCTTTGCTGTCCTTTGTTGGTGCCTTGATTTGAGGAACAATTTGTTCTTGCTCTCAAATGTAAGTAAGGCATTGTTTTGTATGTATGTAGAGTTTGTAAATATGCTTTCTGTTAGGGGTTAATACTAAACACGTGTTGATTGTATGTTTGTTTAAATGCAGAGGGTTCTTGTATGAGAGAGGAAACAGCACAGATATAAACAGGACCTAGACAAAAAGGGGCTAATTGTCTTCATCCAAACATCTACTCATCTTATTCTATGATCAACAAACGGATGAATTGTTTGCTGGTTCCGATTCTTCCTTGCTTCATTTAAGGACTGCTGGTGTTATATTTTCCACTTTAAAGACTGATTTCACTGTGACAAAATGCTACTTATGGTCATATCTATGAACTGATGGACTTGGTGGACTTAATTGATGTTTCCTCAACTCTGGAAGACTCTATATGCTAATGTTTGGACTTGTTGATATGAATGTGTGGCTCACAGTATGTCTTTAATACACATGGCTCACTGAAATGAATCAGTCTCTGTGGTCCCTCAATCTTTATGTAGCATCAAAAAGTTAGGTGTTACAACGTCTCTATGCTCACCCTGCCTTGGCAGCGCACCTGTGTGCCTTTGATAAGGCTGTTATTTCCCGGTGTATTCCGGGTGGCGTAGTCGATTTATAATTTTAGTGTTCTTTATTTTGTAATCTCTCTCTTCTTGACCATCTCTGCCACAATGGTTCCATAAATTATGGCGAGTCGTCCAGGTCCTGAAGCTGCAGAGCAGCCCCAGACCATCACACTACCTCCACCATGTTTGACTGTTGCTATGATGCTCTTTTTATGAAATGCTGTGTTGGTTTTACGCCAGATGTAACGGGACACACACCTTCCAAAAAGTTCAACTTTTGTCTCATCAGTGTACAGAATATTTGCCCAAAAGTCTTGGGGATAATCAAGATATTTTTTGGCAAATGTGAGACGAGCCTTTGTGTTCTTTTTGGGCAGCAATGGCTTTTGCCTTGGAACTCTCCCATGGATGCCGTTTTTGCCCAGTCTCTTTCTTATTGTTGAATCATGAACACTGACCTTGGCAGTAATCAGGCCTGCGTGTGGCTAGTGAAATTTAACTCAGCTTTCTAAAATAATGTGCTTAATCACAGTTCTTTCATGATTTAACTGGAGGGGGCAATTCATTTTTCACGTAGGGCCAGGTAGGTTTGGACCGCTTATTTCGCTTAATAAATGAAATCCTCATTTAAAAACTGCTTTATGTATTTACTTGCATTATCTTTGTGTAATATTAAAATTAGTTTGATCTTAATCTTTTAAGTGTGACAAATATGCAAAAAAAACCCCCAAAAAAACAGAAGGGGGCAAAAACCTTTTCACGGCACTGTAAGTACTTAGGTCATTGACTGCTCCTATACTTGGAAAGCTCATGATGAATATCTCTTTGGCATAAATCAGAATTATGTTCTTATTTTATCAAGCAGTTCTAGGTATTCTGTTAAATTATTGGATGCAAGATTGGTATGGGAGTCTTTTGTTTGTCAAAATCACAGCATGCACATCTTTTTAAAATTGCTATGACAGTTATGGGTGTAAAGGAATATACAGCACTTCTCAACCCCTTTCGTTTTAGGCTGAAGGCAAACTTCCTGAAAAGGACAATAAAGTATAACTCCAACTCTTTAAAGTTTGAGTTCTTTTAATTCCGCTAGAAAGTCATGCCATGATGTATAAATATTCTATTGGTCATACATACGTCTTCAGAACAAATTAAATTCACAGGTCACCAAATGTGAAATTTGGAACTCACGGCACTGTAAGTACTTAGGTCATTGACTGCTCCTATACTTGGAAAGCTCATGATGAATATCTCTTTGGCATAAATCAGAATTATGTTCTTATTTTATCAAGCAGTTCTAGGTATTCTGTTAAATTATTGGATGCAAGATTGGTATGGGAGTCTTTTGTTTGTCAAAATCACAGCATGCACATCTTTTTAAAATTGCTATGACAGTTATGGGTGTAAAGGAATATACAGCACTTCTCAACCCCTTTCGTTTTAGGCTGAAGGCAAACTTCCTGAAAAGGACAATAAAGTATAACTCCAACTCTTTAAAGTTTGAGTTCTTTTAATTCCGCTAGAAAGTCATGCCATGATGTATAAATATTCTATTGGTCATACATACGTCTTCAGAACAAATTAAATTCACAGGTCACCAAATGTGAAATTTGGAACACAGTGAAATGCAAAACTTACGCTAAGAAAAATGACCACCTAGAGCAGTGGAAGCGTCAAGTGTATTTGCGATTGCATGGCCATAGCAAAGGCGCAGTCAAACAAACTGAATTATAACAGTACACCTGAGCCTTGTTCAGGGAAAATGTTTACAAAAGGACATCACAATGGGTTGGGAAGATAGGAATAGAACATTCTATATGCCAAAAGCGGACACTTTGTCTGTTCAAGTAATGTCGGAAATATTGTATTTTACGAGTTGAATTGTATTTTACGACATGAATCCAACCACAAATTTGTACTTATGAGTTGGAAATTCAGGATTTCCTTTTTAGACCTGAGTTTCTGAATTGGAAGTGTCAGTGAGAAAACATGCACACGCAATGGACGCAGCATCTTTACTGAAGGTACATTTATTCATTTTTTCCCCCCATTTATAGTAAAACTGAAGTGGAAAAATGTACAATTACTATAGAATGTACAGAGATGTGAAACATTGTTTGCCTCCACCTTTATTTCTTTTGTTTTTGTTTCATAGTAAATAGTTTCAGAAATGAAAACAATGTCTAACATAAAACAAAGGCACCCTGAGTAAACACAAAATAGTTTTTAAATGGCAATGTTATTTATTGAAGCAAAAACATCATCTAATACCAACTGTGCCTGTGTGGAAATGTATTTCTAAATCTACGATACTGCATTCATAATGGGGTTCAGCTGGACTAGATGCAACTAGGCCTGATTACTGCCAGACCTCAAATTAAATCAACATGAAATTACATGAAAACTTTTTCAACAGCAGGATGTTGGTTAAATAGGTCGTACCCAGTAACACACCATGCCAAAGGTGAAAGAAATTCCAGTAATGTTGAAGAAGAAAAAAAACCACAGTGAGAGCTTTTATCTTCAAATGGAAAAAAAAGTAAACCTTCCCAGAAATGGCTGACCTTCTAAAATTCCTCCAAGAGCACAGTGACATTTTCTGTGACATGACCATTCAGGAAGTCACAAAAGACCCAAGGACAACACCTGAAGAAACTGCAGGCCTCGCTTGCATCAATAAGGTCAATGTACTTGGCTCCACTTTCCGAAAGACACTGGACAAAACTGGCATCCATGGAAGAGAGGTGAGGTAAAAAACCCTGCTATCCCAGAAGCATATTAATGCTTGTCTGAATTTTGTCAAATTGTTTGCAGGATGGGGGTCCCATTACATCTGATGTAAACCAAATACTGAATTCCTCAAAAAAGAACCTCATATCTATGGTCAAACATGGTGCTGGTGTGGAGATGCTTTGCTGCTTCAGGGCCTGGCAACTTGCAATAATTGAAGGAAACATGAATTCTGCTCTCTAACAGAAAATCCTAAAGGAGAATGTCAGGTTTTCAGTCTGTAATCAGAAGATCAAGCTCAACGGGATTATGCAGCAGGACACTGAAAACCCTCCAGCGGGGCTGAACTAAAGCAGTTCTGCAAAGAAAAGTGGGCCAAACTTCCATCACCGTGCCGTGAAAGACTAATCTCCAGTTATCAGAAGCATTTGGTTGCAATTATTGCTGCTGAAGGTGGCACAAACACATTTTAAGTTCAAGAGAGCCAGTCACATGGCTGATAGGTGTTGGATTTTTTTTATCTTAAAAAAAAAAAAACGTTTAAACTAATGTGTTTACTCAGGTTGCATTTGTTTTGTTTGCTTCTGAAGCTGCGGACAGGTAGGGATTTATTTTACTTATTTTTAAGGAAAGTGCTTTGAGTGCTTGCACACTGGCTGACTGAGTATTTCAGTCCACAAAGGCATTGATATCTTTGATTATTAAATCTGTCAGACCATCATCATCATATCAGATTATGGAAGGAGTTTAGGACCAGTAAATGAAATCGTCAAAGCGATTTCAACAACATAGCGACAGCAATTAGGCATATGAATATTGAGCTAGAACATCTAACCTTCTACTCTGTTTTTCTGAGAGCTTAACCTATACATTCATGAGTGCTAGGTGCTAGCAATAGTGAAAATGACCAGCCTTCAGATGAACAAATGAAAAAGATCAAAAACTTTTTTATTTGTTTACAGCAAGGAATAATCAGAACAAAAGCAGAAGTTGTTGAGTATAACCAATCTTAACTGTTGCACACTATCAAAGACCATATCAAAAATATAATGCCATGTTTCCACTTAGCAAAGCATAGTTTAGGTATCAAAAAGAAATCTACTAATGCAGCAAATCTTTCTCTCAGTGTTTTGCTGCATTTGTAGATTTCTTTTTGATACTTAAAATATATATAAACAGGACCTGGTGGTCCCTCCAATATTGAGAAAAAGCATACAAGCCAATTGCAGACACAACACACTAATACTTAAACACACAATAATGGTTTAGCAACGTGTCACGATCAGGGTTAAAACACATTTGGTACACTGGGCATCAGTGACGCAGGAAATGGATTTCTTTCTGATAAAGAAAAAGTAGCCAACAAATGGATTAGAAACAATGCACAGCTAGACCAACTATATAATCTAATGCGTTTAAGCTCAAACAGAATCAAAGTATAGCATGATGATGTGAGTTTGTATGGTATGAGACCGCATTTCATGAATTGTACAATTAGCCCAGGAGTGGTATATAAATAATTTTTAGAAAGCAAATGTTAAACAAACAAACACAAATACATGGTAACTGGTTTAAACTGTTTAAAACAATCTTGTTTGTTTAACACAATACAAATAACAGACAAAATATTCCGTTTTAGTTTTGTTTGTGCCTCCTCAGCTTTTACATATTACTTTATTGCCTTTCATTAAAAAGGAAATAAATTGGTTCAACATAAAACAATTAGCTGCAAATATTCAAATAACTGGTTAAAATGAAGAAATATCATCAGCACAGTTACATTCAGATATAGTCATAGTTTTTATGCCACCAAGTGAGGTATGAAAAGAAGATGGGAGAGATGGTGACAGAATGGTTGCTAGTTTTAGGGTGCATGTCCAATATATGCATCTTCTCTGTCTTCATCTCCTGAAGGATCTTCTGGGGCCCTCCTTTGATTAGCTGCTCTGTAAGTGGAAAAATGACTCATTTACATTCAAACATAAACAAAACAAAGAAACCTGCACATGAACAAGAAGTTAAAACTTTGGAGTAGCTAAATCAAGATAAATATATAGACATAATGGTGAGTCACAGGGCCCTGTTTTAAAAGTGGTAGGCCATATACACTATTTTCCTATTTGAAACTGTAAAGTTGCTTTGACACAATCTGTACTGTTAAAAGCGCTATATAAATAAAGGTGACTTGACTTGATTGCTGTAGCAGTTCAAAAGGCTTCCAGCACCTCTGATAAAGGCAGCAATATATTCACAAGGGAGTTTTTTCATCCTTAATTTTCATGTTTAAAATTCATTTGCAGTGAATACCCTTCCCCTTTAGACCAGGGGTTCCCAAAACTTTCCATTCCACCTAGATAAGTATAATCTATTTTAAGACCCACCAAAATATTTGTGATAAAAAAAACTACTGACATTACTGTAAGCTTAATCTTAATTAAAAGTTTAATATGACAGAAATTACAGTTTATTTAATAATAGTTTGGAGATTGAAATAATTATGAAATCATTTTTAAAAATAAACAGATGTGTCTCATTTTAAATAAACACTAAAAACAGAGATGACAAATTTACTTCAGCTAGAAATGTAGTCTACTTTTGCAATGGTGTTCAGCGATATCTTCAAAAGATTTTTTGAACTTTGGCACATTTTTTTCTCTATATAGTGATGATATGGCAAGGAAATAATAGGAACTTTTTACATTTTTTTATGCTAGCATGTGGAAATGTTTAAAACATGTAGTGATACATTTAACCCCACGTTTGTGCCCCGCTCACCCCGTACATGCTAAATGCTTTTTACTAGGGCTGGGTTTTGACACAAATTTCACAATTCGATTCGTTTCTCATTCACAAGTTTGCGATTCGATTCGATTCCCAATTCGATTCGATTATCGATCAATGTCGATTATTTTGGATATATATCTGGTACACATGCAAAATTTTCTCAAGGTGAAGAACAGTCAAATTTATAATGAATATGTTATATATGGTGCTTATATTTAGCAAAATGCCCCTCTCTACAGTTTATTTTTCTATCTGACTAATGAGTTTATGGTCACCGAATATGTTTTTCTGAGGTAAATGTGACGTTACGTGACATTGTTTACAAGCCGTTATATTGCATCTTTGCACGGCTGAAACAGCGTTTACATGAGACAGGATACGGATTGTAAAGTTGTACTCTTTCTTTTAACTTACCTTCAGATCTTTAGTAATGTTTATTTTGTGCTGAAACTGGTATTAATGTAGAGGAGATGATCAATTCACGTGCGCCTCGCGGTGCTGCTTTTATTGAACTGAGGCGCGCCATGCTACAGCGATCACTCCACAAAACAGCGCCAAAACGGCATTTATTGTTTGAGTACTGCAATACAATGGACAGAATTTGAAATCTGATACTTTGTTTCATATTAAAAGTACCAAAGCACAATGCTTATTACGATATATTGGATGGGAGGTGCCCTTCAATGTTC